ACAATCCAACTGACTGTCTTTTTTGTGGATACGTTTTACTTGAGCTGTTTTCCACTGTTGAGGAAATTTTCAGTCAGCAAAGCTCTTCCTTGCAATGACGAAAAAGCTATCAATGAAGACATCCCCTATTAGGTGAAGCTCTCTCCCTCCTAAGTTATCTGGCCTACAGGCCTTACCCCTTTGAGGTGACGAATCGCACAGTTAGATACAAGCTCCCCATTAACAAATAGAGATGGAAGGGTTGGGGTCACTCTGTAAATGTAGTTTGTGAATGGAGGGAGATGAAGTACAGTATTGTTGTTCAAGGTTGAGCATATGTTTGTAAAACAAGAATTTCAACATTTGCTTTCAGGAGAAAAGGGTTTTTTCACCCTTTCCCCAAACAGAGAGCCTTTTCACAGGCTAGTGGAGGACATTTCCTTGATGCTTTCATCATGTTTGTCTCTCCGCACACTAATACACGCCAGGAAACACGCCAATAAGTTACTCATTCAGTGCGGCTCAGCTAATCAGGAATTTACGGACGCCAGCGTCCAAAGAAATGAACAAAATGGGGTACTTATAGCGGGCTTCTCTTACCCTCTCTCCCCAATACTTCTCCCTAATTTCGACGCCTGCTACGCAGTCAATAGGATAGCCTGCGGCATAGCAAGCTTCGGAGCAAAGAAAGACCTAGCCTACGACCGCAGACGTATTTCCGATCTTCGCTTATTTCCCTTAAGCGACGACCGGAAATAAATATGCTAAGAAAGACCGAGGAACGGGATTGTCGGTTTTGAAAATTGAAGGCAAGGCTGTTCCGACAGCTAAGGGCTACAAATATATTTGCCCAATATTTCGACTAAACAAAACTAGTCTTCATCAGGAGCTAGAGAAGCTAAGTGAGAATAGAATAAACGGTTACAGTATTTAAAATAATACAAATATAAAAATAAAATGTGATTGATGGTGGAATACAACAGACGAAAACTTGTATGAACAGGTAATATACAAAATAAATGTCAAAAGATTAAATTTCATCTCGTCTGTTTATCCCATAGGGTTCAAGTTCTCGGTTTCGGCCGCGCGAAAAATGGAACGAGGGCCAAAACATGACAGAGGGAGGAGGGGGAGGGGAAGGGGAAAGAAGGATACGCTTGCAGAAGAGCCATGGCATTTTGAAAATCCCGCCCGCCAGCGAACGGGGCGCCTGATTGGCTCGGCTTGTCGAACATTATTGACACGCTGATAGGTCGAGACACGCAATTTTCTGTAGTTATTGTTTATTCTAGTCTGAAAGATTTGCCCTCTGATGCAAGAGCATTTTCTTTGACACCTTAGCATTTGAAACGTAAAACTCTTCTTGTGGCTAAATAAGGGGTTTAGGTTGTTTAATTTTCTCCAAAGCGCCTCCTGGATGTGAATAGCTAAAAGCGATTTTCTTTTGTCTTCGAATGCAATGGTTTTCGATGATTTGTCAAGCTGGGCCCAGCTCCTTTATATTGTTTTTTGCAGGGTGTAAAATTCTCTAGGACAATGGATCATAGTGCTTTAGATTAAAATTTCGAAGAATGGATTGCACCTTAAACTAAGGCTACATCCGGAGACTTGCATTGTGACTTTTGATTGATTGCTCTTTAAGCAATGATTACTTGGTAATAAATTTTGAATTAGCTTAACAGTCTTGCCACTGTTCAGTTATTGCCACTTTGTGATCAGGGCAAGACCATGGTTTCTGTTCTCCACGCGAACGGCGAACCGCATCACCTGCCACACTGGCTTTGTTCTTAATTGCTTTTACAACAGCAACTCCAGTTGTTACGTGCCGCGGCGAGAACGGTAAACCCCCGTTCTGTCTAGCTAAGGTTTGATCTTGTACAAATACTGAAATATATACCCGCGTCGTGGATCGAATATTCTAGACTTTAATACTTCAGTGTCACAATTTACTAGCTAAAACCTCAAAACTTCACCCTTGCAGTTCTTCCTTTTAGACGTGTTAAGAATATCCGCTGGGGTTATTAATTCACTTAGATGAAACGAAAAGGAGAGAAAACGAAAAAAGAAAAGATCGTATAAACGATACAAGAATATACACTGTAATTTATTACAATACAAAGTTTTAAATTTTATGTCAGCTTCCTCAATATTCGAATCGCAAAAAAAAAAACTAGAAAAACAACTGTTTTTACTATTTAACTCAGCTCATCTTTTGTTGGATAGTGCGGTCAAACACATCCACGAAAAGTAGAGAGCCGTCTTTGCCAGCTGGAATGGATAATAGCAACAAAAAATCAATTAACGACTAGAGAAGGATTGGACAGTTGAGAGGGCAATCTTGTGTTTTCTAAAAAACACATTTCCAAACAAACTTCGTTCGTCTGAGAAAATTTATCCACCTCTTACAGCATGTTACAGCGGCAAAAGACTCCCTACCAGTCTATAACAAAGCTATCATTTAAAAAGTGGCAAAAACACCGTAAAGAAATTGTTGTGAAATCGCATAACAATAAATACTTAATGACTGGTCACGAGGGGTTCCCTCGAATCTCAATGTTTCCCTCGGCTTCGCCTCTGGAAACATCAAGATTCTCGGGACACAAAATTTACTTTTTACCGAGGGACCAGTCTTAAAGTGATTTGTTATATAGCTGGAAATTTTGAAGTTGGGAATTCATTAAACCTCGCTGTAAAGGCGGTCATCGGTCAACATTCGCGGGCAACATTGCATTGTTACCCTCTGATGTCATAGGCAATGTTGCCCGCTCAGAGAGTTTGGCGGGAAACAGTTTCATTGTTAGATGTCATGTGACCTCGAAGTAACCAATGAGACCGCGCGCTGTTGAGAAGAAATTTCCAGCTATATGACAATTTGAGTGATTGTAGACGCACGGTATGCTGATCGAGAGGTAGCAGGTTCACACCCCACCCCCACCAACAACAAGGGACATTATTAAACTAGATGATCATGTTGGTTGTGATTAAGGCCGAGACTCTGTTTCGATGATTGGTCATTGGACGGCGTTGTTGGGACGTTGCTCGCCACTGCCATCATTCCTTCACGTTTTAAAAATCCTATGTCAAAGATGCCTTTCAGCCGGCATTGTGGCCCTCATTACATAGGCTGTACGAGTTTGGGTGCGTAGCCTAGCTTGTTACTAAACGCTGTACGATTATCTTAAGCATTCTTATAAATTTGCAAATAGACGAAAAAAAGTCCTAAACAACTGCAGGTTGAAAGTTCCACCGCGAAGAACTTTGTTTTTGAATTTTTATAGACAAGAGTATCAATGCACTGGTCTCGGCATCAAAACGTTATTTTTTAAGGATTATTCTTAATGCTGCCAGCCCACAGACGAACGGCACACTAATCTTAAGGTTTCCTGTGCTTTCTTGGGTATTGTGTGGCTATTCAGGCGTTATACAGTCCAGTCTCTATACGACGGACAAGAAACCTTTAGGACCGGCATTAAGAGTCCGTCTTAAGAGAAATGGCTGTCTTATAGAAAAACAAATGAAGGGAGTAAAGAAAGCCAGGGACCAACTCTGGGGGTCCGTTTGACAGACGTGTTTGTATTATAGTGGGGTCCGTTAAGAGAGAGTCGACTGTTATCCTCTTAACATGGGGATAGCGCTATCTAGTGGACAAATCTTTGTCAAGTGGATAACACAATTGGTTTCCCCGACACGTGGCCACTGGATATTGATTAATCCAGTGAATAACATTATACACCATTTGGACACCCAGGGCCTGGATTTATGTTTGTCAGGATGATTTTAGGCAATTATATACAGCGGTGTCATCAAACATCATAGGTCTATATTACGCCATTCTAATTGCGCTAAGTTCCACAAAATTTGACGTGCGCAAACAATTTGTAAGTATTTTGTAATTCGGTATAAGCTAAATAAACCATATTTACTTACTATTTTAGTGTGACTGTAAACTGGCTAATGACGACCCAGGTCACGAGAAACTTGTGACTGTAGGGCTTCCTTGTAGTCCTTTATCCTATAACTATTAATTAACCCAATAAATGTTTTGCTGCCCAGGATCTGCTTGCGGCATAACACAGTCAACCCTCTCTAAGACGGACACCTTTAGGACTGACACCACGTGTCCGTCTTAGAGAAATGGTTGTCTTATAGAGAGTCAACTAAAAGGAGTAAAGAAAGGCAGGGAACAAGTCTAGGTGTCTGTTTTACAAAGGTGTTTGTCTTATAGAGGCGTCCGTTAAGAGAGAGTCGACTGTGCTTGCAACTAGTATCCTCTAGTTAATAATATAACAAGACTACAATAGAATTGTGCTCTCCGTGCAAAGAAACTCAATGTCTTCTAATTTTAATCTGGGTTTCTCTCTCCTACGCTTAAAAGTATTTCCTTGGATAATTTTCTCTTTACTTTTTAAAGCATCCGATCATCGAATTCTTGACAAAACGAATTTGACTGAATTTGCTTTTCAAGTTTCATATCTGAATACATATTTGGCAGTAACCCTGGGTTATCTTAACCCTGATTGGAACAACCAGGTCCTGGGCAAAAATGCTTCTTTACTTTGGTTTGTAGAATGTATAAGGAAAATTTGTTAATATAATTAAATCTTTCCGGAAACATCCAGGAAGTAGCAACTATATTTGCATAAAGTCAAGAATCACTTAATGCATAAAAATAGCCTTAATGTAGAAATTCCACAATATTTCGAAATAGATTTTTTTAAACCTTTGCACAGCAGGGAAAGGCACCCAAACTTCAAGTCGCGCAGAGCATTTCCAAAGAAAACTTGAATAAGGGCTGAAATTAGATTAAGAACTGTCACCATTGTGACATCACTGTCAAAATTAAGTTTATGTGTAATCCATGTGTTATAATGGATTCTCAGTAAGACTAAGCTGAAGATGGTAAGGTATAAGATGTCCAAAGATGTAAGATATGTCTACCAAAACACTGGGTTAAGCTATCTTAAGAACTGAAAAATTACTTCCAAGAAAGAAGGCGTGAAAAACTGAAACGTTTCTTGACATTACAAGCCATCTTCATGTACACGTCTCATATGATTTTCATAGTGCCGATGAAGAAGATCCTCACTTCCCATCTCCTCTTGACAAATCCAGCAGCTGTGTTTCTCAATGATGGCTGATTGAGGGACTACCACACCAATGTATCCAGTCTCGCTCTGGGTCAGTGAGTTGTTTGTCTTAATATCAAGTCTTTTACTTCCTGCTCGCTTACGCTGACAACGAAAACTTTTAGAAGGACACTCCTTGCTGTGACGATTATGAGACTTTGCTTTCGTGTGGAGTTCTTCATGTTTCCTAAGATTTCCTTTTTGACTGAAACACTTGCCACACTGTTTACATTCATATGGCTTTTCTCCAGTGTGAATTCTTTCATGAATCCTTAGGTGTCCTGTTCGCCTATAACACTTGCCACAGTGTTTACACTCATATGGCTTTTCTCCCGTGTGCACTCTTTCATGAACCCTTAGGGAACTTGACTGACTGAAACACTTGCCACAATGTTTACATTCATATGGCTTTTCTCCAGTGTGAATTTTTTCATGACTCCTAAGACCAACTGTGGTGCTAAAACACTTAGCACACTCTTGACATTCATACGGCTTCTCTCCAGTGTGAACTCTCTCATGAACTCTTAGGTCTTTTGCTATGCTAAAACACTTACGACAGGTTTTACATTCATGAGGCTTGTTCCCAGTGTGAATTCTTTCATGAACCATTAGGGATCCTGCTTGGCTAAAACACTTGCCACACTGTTTACATCCATAAGGCTTCTCTCCACTGTGAACTCTTTCATGAGACCTTAGGGCTCCTGATGTGCGACAACACATACCACACTGTTTACATTCATATGGCTTCTCTCCATTGTGAACTCTTTCATGATCCCTTAGGGAACTTGACCGACTAAAACACTTGCCACAATGTTTACATTCGTAAGGTCTCTCCCCAGTGTGTACTTTTTTATGTGTCCTTAAGTTTTGTGCCAAGCTAAAACACTTGCCACATTGTTTGCATTCATAAGGCTTCTCCCCAGTGTGAAGTCTTGCATGAATTTTTAGGTACGCTTCAGCACGAAAACACTTGCCACACCGTTTGCATTCATAAGGCTTCTCCCCAGTGTGAACTCTTTCATGAATTTTCAGGTGTCCTGCTTGGCCAAAACACTTTCCACACTGTTTGCACTCATAAGGCTTCTCCCCAGTATGAACTATTTTGTGTTTCCTAAGTTGTCCTGCTTGGCTAAAACACTTGCCACACTGTTTACATTTATAAGGCTTCACCCCACTGTGAACTCTTTCATGAATTTTTAGGTTTCCTGCTTGGCCAAAACACTTGCCACACTGTTTACATTCATAAGGCTTCTCTCCAGTGTGAATCCTTTCATGAGACTTTAGGGCTCCTGATGTGCGCCAACACATACCACACTGTTTACATTCATAAGGCTTCTCCCTAGTGTGAACTCTTTCATGAATTTTCAGGTGTCCTGCTTGGCCAAAACACTTGCCACACTGTTTGCATTCATAAGGCTTCTCGCCAGTGTGCACTCTTGCATGACTCTTTAAGGCACCTGCTTGCCTAAAATACTTGCCACACTCTTTACATTCATAAGGTTTCTCTCCAGTGTGAATCCTTTCATGAGACTTTAGGGCTGCTGATGTGCGATAACACATACCACACTGTTTGCATTCATATGGCCTCTCCCCAGTGTGAACTCTTTCATGAATCCTAAGGTGTTCTGCTCGACTAAAACACTTAGCACACTGTTTGCATTCGTAAGGCTTCTCTCCAGTGTGTACTCTTCCATGTTTCCTTAGGTCTCCTGCACCACGAAAACATTTCCCACACTGTTTACATTCATAAGGCTTCTCCCCTGTGTGAACTCGTTCATGTCTCCTTAAGGCTCCTGCTTGGCTAAAACACTTGCCACACGTTTTACATTCATAAGGCTTCTCTCCAGTGTGTACTCTTCCATGTTCTCTTAGGTCTCCTGCATCACGAAAACATTTCCCACACTGTTTGCATTCATAAGGCTTTTCCCCACTGTGAACTCTTTCGTGTTTCCTGAGGTATCCTGCTTGGCTAAACCACTTGCC